CTGGCCGAGGCTTTGACGTGCTCGGTCTGGCCGAGGCTTTGACGTGCTCGGTCTGGCCGAGGCTTTGACGTGCTCGGTCTGGCCGAGGCTTTGACGTGCTCGGTCTGGCCGAGGCTTTGACGTGCTCGGTCTGGCCGAGGCTTTGACGTGCTCGGTCTGGCCGAGGCTTTGACGTGCTCGGTCTGGCCGAGGCTTTGACGTGCTCGGTCTGGCCGAGGCTTTGACGTGCTCGGTCTGGCCGAGGCTTTGACGTGCTCGGTCTGGCCGAGGCTTTGACGTGCTCGGTCTGGCCGAGGCTTTGACGTGCTCGGTCTGGCCGAGGCTTTGACGTGCTCGGTCTGGCCGAGGCTTTGACGTGCTCGGTCTGGCCGAGGCTTTGACGTGCTCGGTCTGGCCGAGGCTTTGACGTGCTCGGTCTGGCCGAGGCTTTGACGTGCTCGGTCTGGCCGAGGCTTTGACGTGCTCGGTCTGGCCGAGGCTTTGACGTGCTCGGTCTGGCCGAGGCTTTGACGTGCTCGGTCTGGCCGAGGCTTTGACGTGCTCGGTCTGGCCGAGGCTTTGACGTGCTCGGTCTGGCCGAGGCTTTGACGTGCTCGGTCTGGCCGAGGCTTTGACGTGCTCGGTCTGGCCGAGGCTTTGACGTGCTCGGTCTGGCCGAGGCTTTGACGTGCTCGGTCTGGCCGAGGCTTTGACGTGCTCGGTCTGGCCGAGGCTTTGACGTGCTCGGTCTGGCCGAGGCTTTGACGTGCTCGGTCTGGCCGAGGCTTTGACGTGCTCGGTCTGGCCGAGGCTTTGACGTGCTCGGTCTGGCCGAGGCTTTGACGTGCTCGGTCTGGCCGAGGCTTTGACGTGCTCGGTCTGGCCGAGGCTTTGACGTGCTCGGTCTGGCCGAGGCTTTGACGTGCTCGGTCTGGCCGAGGCTTTGACGTGCTCGGTCTGGCCGAGGCTTTGACGTGCTCGGTCTGGCCGAGGCTTTGACGTGCTCGGTCTGGCCGAGGCTTTGACGTGCTCGGTCTGGCCGAGGCTTTGACGTGCTCGGTCTGGCCGAGGCTTTGACGTGCTCGGTCTGGCCGAGGCTTTGACGTGCTCGGTCTGGCCGAGGCTTTGACGTGCTCGGTCTGGCCGAGGCTTTGACGTGCTCGGTCTGGCCGAGGCTTTGACGTGCTCGGTCTGGCCGAGGCTTTGACGTGCTCGGTCTGGCCGAGGCTTTGACGTGCTCGGTCTGGCCGAGGCTTTGACGTGCTCGGTCTGGCCGAGGCTTTGACGTGCTCGGTCTGGCCGAGGCTTTGACGTGCTCGGTCTGGCCGAGGCTTTGACGTGCTCGGTCTGGCCGAGGCTTTGACGTGCTCGGTCTGGCCGAGGCTTTGACGTGCTCGGTCTGGCCGAGGCTTTGACGTGCTCGGTCTGGCCGAGGCTTTGACGTGCTCGGTCTGGCCGAGGCTTTGACGTGCTCGGTCTGGCCGAGGCTTTGACGTGCTCGGTCTGGCCGAGGCTTTGACGTGCTCGGTCTGGCCGAGGCTTTGACGTGCTCGGTCTGGCCGAGGCTTTGACGTGCTCGGTCTGGCCGAGGCTTTGACGTGCTCGGTCTGGCCGAGGCTTTGACGTGCTCGGTCTGGCCGAGGCTTTGACGTGCTCGGTCTGGCCGAGGCTTTGAAGTGCTGAGGTTGGCCGAGGTTGTGAAGTTTTGAGTTGCTGGGATCGTCATACAAACATTTGAATTATGACAGTGTAGATCTGCAATCGGAATTTGCTTTATATATAAAGAAAAGGGGAATACAACAATATTGGTAATATAAAAATATGAACTTATTGATAGTAACGCTTCAGATGTTCTGCATTCCAGGGATGGGGCAGGTCTCGGCCTTCCATGTCTTGGAGTCGGTAAGTGCCTGGTCGTGGTCGGGCTTTGACGATGTAGGGGCCCTCCCATTTGGCTGCCAGTTTGCCCTCGGCTGGATTCTTTGTGGCGAGAGTCACTTCTCGTAAGACAAGATCCCCGACGGAGAATTCTCGAGGTCGGACTCGGCGGTTGTAGTGTGTTCTCATTTTCTGCTGGTAAGAAGCCAATCTGACAGCAGCGGTTTCTCTGAGCTCTTCGATTAGATCGAGGTGTGTTCGATGGAGCTCTTCGGCTGAGGCCAGATCCGGGTGTAAAACCCTAGGAGTGGGGAGGCCGACCTCTACCGGGATAACCGCCTCAGCGCCATATGTTAAGCGAAAAGGGGTTTCGCCGGTGGGGGTGCGAGCAGTGGTTCGGTAAGCCCAGAGTACATTGGGCAGTTCCTCGGCCCAAAGGCCTTTAGCAGCTTCGAGCTTGGTTTTGATGATTTTGAGAAGGGAACGGTTGGTGACTTCAACTTGGCCGTTTGCCTGGGGGTGACCGGGGGAGGAGAAGCACGGTTGGATCTGGAGATCTGCACAAAATTTTCTGTACTTCGCGTTATCGAATTGTTTGCCATTGTCAGAGATGATGGCTTGAGGGATGCCAAATCGGCAAATGATCGATTGCCAGATAAACCTGGTTGTGTTCCGCTCGGTGATTGTGGCAAGGGGTTCAGCTTCGACCCACTTGGTGAAGTAATCGATGGCAACGATTGCGAATTTGGTCTGACCTCGACCGGTGGGAAGGGGACCGACCAGGTCAATCCCCCATTTGGCAAACGGGTAAGGACTGCAGAGTGTGATTAACTCTGTAGGAGGAGCATGAGGGATGTTGGCGAAGCGTTGGCA